CTAAAGAACCGATATCTTTAGCACCATCCCGTTTGCTGAAGAGAATGGAAGGCTGGACGTTGTTAGAAAATAGAAGGCTTATACAAAAGAAAGTAAGGTGTCAATGCCAAAGCTTCTTCTCAAGCATCAACACATCAGATGATAGGAATCGAAAGACAGGAAAGCAACATTAAGTACCATAGAAGTTGGCGAGTCAAGGTCGTGAGAGTGAGTTAACTACAGAACCGATATCTCTAGCACCATCCGTTTGCTGAAGAAAATGAAAGGCTGGACGTTGTTAGAAAATGGAAGGCTGGATATTGTTTAAAAACTGAAGAAATTTAATATAACTATGTGCATAAAAAATATAAAAAGAATATAATAGCACACATGACCTCTTTTGCTGGTAATTGACTGGAGAAAAGGGGATGGGAGCGCAAAGGGGAAATTTAATATCAACTATATGTATAAAAAATAAAAAGAATATGAAAGCACACACGACCTCTTTTGGTGGTACTATAGACTGGAAAAAACCGATATCTTTAGCACCAACACATCAGATGAATAGGAATCGAAAGACAGGAAAGCAACATTAAGTGCCAAAGTTGGCGAGTCAAGGTCGTGAGAGTGAGTTAACTAAAGAACCAATATCTTTAGCACCATCCCGTTTGCTGAAGAGAATGGAAGGCTGGACGTTGTTAGAAAATAGAAGGATTATACGAAAGAAAGTAAGGTGTCAATGCCAAAGCTTCTTCTCAAGCATCAACACATCAGATGATAGGAATCGAAAGACAGGAAAGCAACATTAAGTACCATAGAAGTTGGCGAGTCAAGGTCGTGAGAGTGAGTTAACTACAGAACCGATATCTCTAGCACCATCCGTTTGCTGAAGAAAATGAAAGGCTGGACGTTGTTAGAAAATGGAAGGCTGGATATTGTTTAAAAACTGAAGAAATTTAATATAACTATGTGCATAAAAAATATAAAAAGAATATAATAGCACACATGACCTCTTTTGCTGGTAATTGACTGGAGAAAAGGGGATGGGAGCGCAAAGGGAAAAAAGAATCTCCATCCGTTTGCTGAAGAAAATGAAAGGCTGGACGTTGTTAGAAAATGGAAAGCTGGATATTGTTTAAAAACTGATGAAATTTAATATAACTATGTGCATAAAAAATATAATAGCACACATGACCTCTTTTGCTGGTAATTGACAGGAGAAAAGGGGATGGGAGCGCAAAGGGGAAAAAGAATCGTCGACAGCAGGGATCGAACCTGCGCGGGCGTAGCCCAACAGATTTCAAGTCTGTCTCCTTAACCACTCGGACATATCGACCTTGTTGTACTATCATTCATAACAACTTATGTATCCAGTAGGCAGATATCACGTAGCATTAAATTATCAATGCCGACTGCAACCCTGGGCCGGCGAGAAACATTGCCAATTCCTTACGCGAGTTGGCGTCGTTTAAATAGAAAATGCTACGGTTGCCTTTAATGTTACGCGTGCAGTTCTGATCCCTTGGTTGTTCTGCACGTTCATGTCAGGCGCGATTTGTTCCAAAGCCTAATCTGCTGTGTAATCTTTCTGGTACATAGGTAAATGTCAACATACCCAGGCCGACAGCGATCGTCGTGGAAAAAGCAACCCCGGCCGTTAGAAATATGTATATATAAATGTGTACATATAGTACCACTTGGCGCATATGGGTGGTAAGCTATCCGAAAACAAAGAATATGTGTAAACATGCATACATTTCTTGGCTGTGGCCGACAAATATTGTTAGTTCGTCACAATCAAATCATCGTTTGGTGTGTAACTCAGAAAAAAGCACCTGCACCTGCACATCATCGACATCGACGTTGCCTTTAGCGTAACTAACCGGCATTGAGTAGATAACTGATGGCCATATATATAACCTCGTGTCGGAGTAGCTAGGATGTTGGACTTGCTGCATCCCTCAAAAGCAAAAAGAAAAAAGGAAAAAGTAGGACATGCTGCACTGACAACACACGGATGGGCCGCACCCTCCCACTGCTAGACTCTAGCTAGGATTTTAGACCGTTCAACAATTCCGTTTTTTACCGTACGTTAGGTTAACTTGTTCCATCTACGATTATATGCCTTTTTTTTAATGCCTTTTCTTATTGGGAGAAGCATCAACCTATTATAAAAGTTTACCAACTCAAACATCTTTTGTTCCGATTGGATACGATCGATCTGACACAAGGACGAGATGTGTCCCACTGGAACCTCGCTGCATCTGAGTCCTTCACAGTCGACTCGATGTACCGTGCGCTCACGCATTCAGAGGTCCCAATGGATAATAACAAGAAAAATCTGGAGGTTAAAGATTCCACTGAAAGTTAAGATCTTCATGTGGTACCTTCGGTAGGGAGTGTTGCTAACCAAAGATAACCTCACCCGTCGCAACTGGAATGGAAGCAAGAAGTGTGGCTTTTGTACTCATGACGAGACAATTAAACACCACTTTTTCTAGTGCAAGTTTGCATGTTCTACGTGGGCAATCATCCAAATAATGTCTAATCTTTATCCGCCCACATGTGTTGCCAATATTTTCGGTCACTGGCTGGACGGTATTCCTTATAGATTCAAATCGCTAATAAGGATGGGAGCGTATGCCTTGTTATGGTAGCTTTGGCTATGTAGAAATGATCTGATTTTTAATGACAAAATCTCTTCTCCTTTGCAGGTTATTTTCCGTTGTACGCAATCGCTTCGTACGTGGTCTATGCTTCACCATACGGAGTTCCAACCGCTGTTCAAGGTGGTGTGTATGCAATTGGAGCGAGTGGCCATGGAGGTTTTTTTCCAACATGGGTGGCAGCATAACCTCCGTATCGGCCCATCACATCCTTCAACATACGCATAGTGACGGTCTTATTTGACTCTACTAGTCCGATATGTCATCTTTTTATTTTCTTTCAGACTATTTGTGTTTGGCTGTGTGCATCATAATTATGCAGAGGCCGGGTGTTACTCATCATGATTTGTATCTTCTTGATGCTACGTTCTGAGTTAAGAAAGACGCCCTTTATCGAAAAACCAACTCAAACATAACAAAAATTACATCGAGATTTTGAAACCGCCGAACGACCACTACTGCCGTCAGAATAAGTCACTGACACACCGCTATGGCCGCTTTCTAATCGGAGCCGGCTTGACCTTATCAACGACAACCGGAAAGTCTTCGTGGACGTGCCCCTAAGGACAAGCGCCCTGAAGCCGCATTGATCGCCGTTAAACCCTTGCATATATTTGAAGCAACTAACACCAAATCTACGCCAGAGCTCCATCGACTACGCCCAGACAGACGAACTCGAGAAGGATCCGGGCCCAGATGATACACTCGAAGAAGAATCGCTGACATCCGCCGAGCGCCGCATCTGCAAGGACTACAAAAACATAACCTAGACTACTAACCGAACTGGAGGCACCGGGATTCCCCTCCCGTCACCGGCTGCCGGAGCAGCAGGCTGAGGGGAGGCAAATCACGGGCTCGCCGGTGAAGTCGGGACAGAAGAGTTTGTCCTAATCATCTAGGGTTAGGGAAGGGAAACGAGAGTATGGTTATATGCCTTGTCTTCCAAGCATCTATTCTCTCGTAAGTAGTACATGTGAAATATAGAAATGATGCAACACACAAACGGTTCATATATTGTCGAATTATTCAATGAACGGACATATCACTGAGTACATATTAATTTCACAAATTGTGGAAGCACAAAAAAATAAAAAAACGAGGTGGAACCACAAACTTTCAACAAAACGTGGATCTCTCAGTACATACGTTGTATCACCTTGATCGTAATAGTTATTTTAGTTACTCTTCCTACAGTTCTTCCTGATCTCTCCATTGTTCCTTGTGAGCGGCGAGATATCTCCCATCTTGATCATGCCTGCCACGAAGTCTGCGAAGAAAGCGCTCTGGCTGCTGACATAGTACTGGACCAGGGGGTCGGTGGCCCCGCCGTTGAAGACCTCCTGGTCGGAGTGCAGGAGCCCCTTCTTGGCAACCAGGTTCTTGTAGTAGTTATTCTCAAAGGCGGTCGGGGTCTGGAGGTCCAGCGGTGCTAGGTTGTTGTCGCCGGAGCCGGAGTTGGGAGGGCAGCCCGATTGGCGGGTCCCGGCGAAGCCGCTGTCGATGTCGGTCTCGTTGTAGATGTGTGCTCGGAAGTTCGTGCAGCGAGCTTGGCCTATGGTGTGAGATCCTGCGTAGGTCCATGCATGTAATCAGAGAAAACAGAATTTGTAATGAGGGACACTTCATCTTCCCCCTTTTTAGAATAAAAAGGGAACATTTGGGCCCTTTTTCCCCAAAGGAACGTTTTGGCACTTTTATTTTATTATCACTTACTTTGCAACTAAGTGCGTATATTCTCTAAAAATAATGGTAGAAAGAAAAAGGGATTTGAGTCAGTGATGGAACAGAGTAAAAGGAATCATATGCGTGTGTGGTTGTGATTAATTCATAATCAAGTTGGATATCTGGTAGTATGCCAGCTTTATTCTTCTCTCTAAATGGACTCTCACCCCGCTTTATAGATAATAAAGCACAAACCGAGATACACGGCCAGCTTTATCCTTGCCTTAATATTATTAGTCCAATGACACGTGAATATATATGTGATGGGAGGCATCTTTCAAGTAAAGCCAGAGCCAGGCATTTCACTGAAAAAGTTAAGTGGCCTGGCTGCTAGAATACTGGCCTCAGATCTGTGACATGCAAAATGCAATACAACTAAGAGGTTCTTCTAGAAACCCATGCCGACAACCACAGGCCAATGCCAGGTTTTTTCGTCGGCCTAAAAAGTAATGGAAACTACTTCTAATTGGTAGTACGAGTAATTGCTAGTCACTAATCACGGATGATTGAACTCGTCACCAGTAAATTAACAATGTCCAGGCTTTCAAGTCAAAACTTAGCTATCAGTTCGGTTGGCGATCATGCCGGCTACATACAGCTGTATCGTGCAGTGTAGCTAGCTAGTAAAGCTAGTAGAAGCAGAGTGTGAAACGGTTCATATTCTCCCACATGGGAATCGATTCTCGTCGCTTTCATGGTTGTTAATTACTGTACATTAGTCCTACGTTCTCTCTATCATGCTGCCAGAAATTAGGTCTGCATTCTTAAGCACCAGTGATCATCCAAAAGTATTTGAGATTAGTTGGCTAATGCAAAGGGAATAATTATTTAATCCTTTGAGCGATGGGTGGAGGTACGCACCGGAGAGCGCGACCATGTCCTTTTGGGAGAGTCCCTGCGCTGCGAACAGTGACGTGAGGTTGGCGAGCCCCGACGTCGGCGGGGGGATGTTGTTGTTGGCGCCGCTGAAGCTCGCCGTCGTGGAGTCCCTCCGCCCGACCTTCACTGCCCAGTTCGGCCCGCCCAGCTACACATACTCACAGTTTCAGCATGCATGTCGTTCGTTGCATGTAATATAATCTGCATGGGAAGTAGGAGTAGGTGGGCTCCTATACGTACGGCGACGACGCTGTCCCTGGCGGCGATGGCGAGGACGTCGGCGCAGGAGACGACGCCGGGGCAGATATTCTCGACGGCCACCTTGATGGCGTCGATGACCTCGAACCCTCGCACCGACCCGTTGTTGGGCATCGCCGTCTTCTCCCCCTGGAAGCTCGCCGTGTCGTCCAGGAGCAGCGACCCGTCGCAGCCCTGGACGAAGCAGTCGTGGAAGAAAAGGCGGAGGATGGACGCGCCCATGCGCGGCTCCTTCGCCACGGCCGACTGCACCACCGACGCGACTGTGCCCAGCGCGCCCGGGCACGAGCTCGAGTAGAACCCCGTCGACAGCTGCGCCGACGCCCCGCCGGCCGCCATGACGACTAGCAGGACGACGCACAGAGCACTACTAGCGTTCATGCCGGCGCGGCCCGCACTTGCACTAGCGGCAGCCATGCTCTCGATCGCACCCGACTGTGTTTGTGCGTGTGCAGTGCAGACTATTGAGCGTGCGTGTGTTGCCTTGAGCTAGCTTGCTGGGGCATGGATATTTATAGCACATTTGCATAGATGAATTATTTGTGGTGGCAAAAAAACATGATTAGATTGCACCATCTTTCCCACCAACTCTCTGCTGGACTTTGAGTTGAAACTGAAGTGCCGTTGTCTAGGGCACGTACGTACACTGCTTCAGGTTTTGGTGAGTGAGAACACTTGGACTTGAACCTGTGAAAGCAAAAAAGGGCGACACGGCTAAGTAAAAGGGCGTCGTCGCCTTTTCTCTATCAGGCGACGATAAAGCTGCTTAGCTACCATGTGATGCTGACTGCTCATCATCTCTTATGTTAGTAGGAAAAAAGGATGATATTCTCATCACAAGGTGCTCTTAGTAGGAAAGTACTTTTCCATCGAGATGCCATAACACCTGAGATTAATGGTTTCTTTTACGGAAGACAGTTGGTGAATTATACATACTAGTATGAATCAAATTAAATAATACATAATTTACTGTTCATGAGGGTGTAGGGGCACCCGGGAACTGTTACACCTTTCCAATACTCGGTGAAGGCGACGACAATGTAGATGAAGTAGACAAACATCGCCTTCACCTTTCCAATACTTCATCTACGTTTGTCTACTTCATTTACTGTTCATGAGGGTGTAGGGGCACCCGGGAACGCTCCTCAAAAACCTAATCGCACCTCTCCCATACACGATCTCAAGAGGCGAGGTTTTGGAGGCCTGCTCTTCCGTCAACCGTGCACGTGGTGGATGGGATGGGATTGTTGGGGAACGTAGTAATTTCAAAAAAATTCCTACGCACACGCAAGATCATGGTGATGCATAGCAACGAGAGGGGAGAGTATTGTCCATGTACCCTCGTAGACCGTAAGGGGAAGCGTTATGACAACGCGGTTGATATAGTTGTACGTCTTCACGATCCGACCGATCCAAGTATCGAACGTACGGCACCTCCGAGTTCAGCACACGTTCAGCTCGATGACGATCTCCGGACTCCGATCCAGCAAAGTGTCGGGGATGAGTTCCGTCAGCACGACGGCGTGGTGACGATGATGATGTTCTACCGGCGCAGGGCTTCGCCTAAACTCCGCGACGATATGACCGAGGTGGAATATGGTGGAGGGGGGCACCGCACACGGCTAAGAAACGATCTTGAAGATCAACTTGTGTGTCCTAGGATGCCCCCCTGCCCCCGTATATAAAGGAGCAAGGGGGGTGCGGTCGGCCCTAGGAGGAGGCGCGCCGGAGGAGTCCTACTCCCACTGGGAGTAGGACTCCCCCCTTTCCCTAGTTGGATTAGGACTTGGGGGGAAGGAAGAGAGGGGGGAAAGGAAAGGGGGGGGGCGCCCCCCCTCCTTGTCCAATTCGGACTTGGGGGCGCGCGGCTGCCCCTAGGCCTCCTCTCCTCTTCCTCCACTAGGCCCAATAAGGCCCATTAGGTTACCGGGGGGTTCCGGTAACCTCCCGGTACTCCGGTAAAATGCCGATTTCACCCGGAACACTTCCGATGTCCAAACATAGGCTTCCAATATATCAATCTTTATGTCTTGACCATTTTGAGACTCCTCGTCATGTCCATGATCACATCCGGGACTCCGAACAAACTTCGGTACATCAAAACCTATAAACTCATAATAAAACTGTCATCGTAACGTTAAGCGTGCGGACCCTACGGGTTCGAGAACTATGTAGACATGACCTAGAACTATTCTTGGTCAATAACCAATAGCGGGACCTGGATGCTCATATTGGCTCCTACATATTCTACGAAGATCTTTATCGGTCAAACCGCATAACAACATACGTTGTTCCCTTTGTCATCGGTATGTTACTTGCCCGAGATTCGATCGTCGGTATCTCAATACCTAGTTCAATCTCGTTACCGGCAAGTCTCTTTACTCATTACGTAATGCATCATCCCACAACTAACTCATTAGTCACATTGCTTGCAAGGCTTATAGTGATGTGCATTACCGAGAGGGCACAGAGATACCTCTCCGACAATCGGAGTGACAAAACCTAATCTCGAAATACGCCAACCCAACATGTACCTTTGGAGACACCTGTAGTACTCCTTTATAATCACCCAGTTACGTTGTGACGTTTGGTAGCACCCAAAGTGTTCCTCCGGTAAACGGGAGTTGCATAATCTCGTAGTTATAGGAACATGTATAAGTCATGAAGAAAGCAATAGCAACATACTAAACGATCAAGTGCTAGGCTAACGGAATGGGTCATGTCAATCACATCATTCTCCTAATGATGTGATCCCGTTAATCAAATGACAACACATGTCTATGGTTAGGAAACATAACCATCTTTGATTAATGAGCTAGTCAAGTAGAGGCATACTAGTGACTATATGTTTGTCTATGTATTCACACATGTATCATCTTTCCGGTTAATACAATTCTAGCATGAATAATAAACATTTATCATGATATGAGGAAATAAATAATAACTGTATTATTGCCTCTAGGGCATATTTCGTTCAGTCTCCCACTTGCACTAGAGTCAATAATCTAGATTACACAGTAATGATTCTAACACCCATGGAGTTTTGGTGTTGATCATGTTTTGCTCGTGAAAGAGGCTTAGTCAACGGGTCTGCAACATTTAGATTCGTATGTATCTTGCAAATCTCTATGTCTCCCACCTGGACTTGGTCCCGGATGGAATTGAAGCGTCTCTTGATGTGCTTGGTCCTCTTGTGAAATCTGGATTCCTTTGCCAAGGCAATTTCACCAGTATTGTCACAGAAGATCTTCATTGGTCCCGATGCACTAGGTATGACACCTAGATCAGAAATGAACTCCTTCATCCAGACTCCTTCATTTGCTGCTTCCGAAGCAGCTATGTACTCCGCTTCACATGTAGATCCAGCCACGACGCTTTGTTTAGAACTGCACCAACTTACAGCTCCACCGTTTACTAAAAACACATATCCGGTTTACGATTTAGAATCGTCCGGATCAGTGTCAAAGCTTGCATCGACGTAACCATTTACGACTAGCTCTTTGTCACCTCCATATACGAGAAACATATCCTTAGTCCTTTTCAGGTATTTCAGGATGTTCTTGACCGCTGTCCAGTGATCCACTCCTGGATTACTTTGGTACCTTCCTGCCAAGCTTATTGCTAAGCACACGTCAGGTCTGGTACACAACATTGCATACATGATAGTGAAGGAAATATGCCCTAGAGGCAATAATAAAGTTATTATTTATTTCCTTATTTCATGATAAATGTTTATTATTCATGCTAGAATTGTATTAACCGGAAACATAATACATGTGTGAATACATAGACAAACACAGTGTCACTAGCATGCCTATACTTGACTAGCTCGTGAATCAAAGATGGTTAAGTTTCCTGGCCATGGACAAAAGAGTTGTCATTTGATTAACGGGATCACATCATTAGGAGAATGATGTGATTGACATGACCCATTCCGTTAGCTTAGCACACGATCGTTTAGTATATTGCTATTGCTTTCTTCATGACTTATACATGTTCCTATGACTATGAGATTATGCAACTTTCGTTTATCGGAGGAACACTTTGTGTGCTACCAAACGTCACAACGTAACTGGGTGATTATAAAGGAGCTCTACAGGTGTCTCCAAAGGTACATGTTGGGTTGGCGTATTTCGAGATTAGGATTTGTCACTCCGATTGTCGGAGAGGTATCTCTGGGCCCTCTCGGTAATGCACATCACGATAAGCCTTGCAAGCAATGTAGCTAATGAGTTAGTTACGGAATGATGCATTATGTAACGAGTAAAGAGACTTGCTGGTAATGAGATTGAACTAGGTATTGGATACCGACGATCGAATCTCGGGCAAGTAACATACCGATGACAAAGGGAACAACGTATGTTGTTATGCGGTTTGACCGATAAAGATCTTCGTAGAATATGTAGGAGCCAATATGAGCATCCAGGTTCCACTGTTGGTTATTGACCGAGAATAGTTCTAGGTCATGTCTACATAGTTCTCGAACCCGTAGGGTCCGCGCGCTTAATGTTACGATGACAGTTTTATTATGAGTTTATGAGTTTTGATGTACCGAAGGTGTTCGGAGTCCCAGATGAGATCGGGGACATGACGAGGAGTCTCGAAATGGTCAAGACGTAAAGATCGATATATTGGACGACTATATTCGGACTTCGGAAAGGTTCCGAGTGATTCGGGTATTTTTCGGAGTACCGGAGAGTTACGGGAATTCGCCGGGAGAAGTATTGGGCCTTATTGGGCCATACGGGAAAGAGAGAGGGGCTGCCTAGGGCAGGCCGCGCGCCCCCCAAGGCCTAGTCCGAATTGGACTAGGGGGAGGGGCTGCGCCCCCTCCTTCCTTCCCTTCTCTCTTCCCTTTCCTTCTCTCCTACTCCTACTACATGGAAGGACTCCTAGTTCTACTAGGAAAGGGGGAATCCTACTCCCGGTGGGAGTAGGACTCCCCTAGGACGCGCCATAGAGAGGGTCGACCCTCCCCCTCCTCCACTCCTTTATATACGGGGGCAGGGGGCACCCCATAGACACACAAGTTGATCTTCGTGATCGTTCCTTAGCCGTGTGCGGTGCCCCCCTCCACCATATTCCACCTCGGTCATATCGTTGCGGTGCTTAGGCGAAGACCTACATCGGTAGAACATCATCATCGTCACCACGCCGTCGTGCTGACAGAACTCATCCCCGACACTTTGCTGGATCGGAGTCCGAGGATCGTCATTGAGCTGAACGTGTGCTGAACTCGGAGGTGCCGTACGTTCGGTGCTTGGATCGGTCGGATCGTGAAGACGTACGACTACATCAACCGCGTTGTCATAACGCTTCCGCTTACGGTCTACGAGGGTACGTGGACAACACTCTCCCCTCTCGTTGCTATGCATCACCATGATCTTTCGTGTGCGTAGGAATTTTTTTGAAATTAC